GCCTGTAAACACCTGTAAACGCCTGTAAACACCAGTAAACACCAGTAAACGCCTGTAAACGCCTGTAAACATCTGTAAACACCTGTAAACACCAGTAAACACCTGTAAATACCTGTAAACGCCTGTAAACACCAGTAAACGCCTGTAAACACCAGTAAACGCCTGTAAACGCCTGTAAACATCTGTAAACACCTGTAAACACCAGTAAACACCTGTAAATACCTGTAAACGCCTGTAAACACCAGTAAACGCCTGTAAACACCAGTAAACGCCTGTAAACGCCTGTAAACATCTGTAAACACCTGTAAACACCAGTAAACACCTGTAAATACCTGTAAACGCCTGTAAACACCAGTAAACGCCTGTAAACACCAGTAAACGCCTGTAAACGCCTGTAAACATCTGTAAACACCTGTAAACACCAGTAAACACCTGTAAATACCTGTAAACGCCTGTAAACACCAGTAAACGCCTGTAAACACCAGTAAACGCCTGTAAACGCCTGTAAACATCTGTAAACACCTGTAAACACCTGTAAACGCCTGTAAAAGCCTGTAAACACCAGTAAACGCCTGCAAACGCCTGTAAACACCTGTAAATGCCTGTAAACGCCTGTAAACACCAGTAAACACCTGTAAACACCTGTAAACACCAGTAAACGCCTGTAAACGCCTGTAAACGCCTGTAAACACCAGTAAACACCTGTAAACGCCTGTAAACACCAGTAAACACCTGTAAACGCCTGTAAACACCAGTAAACACCAGTAAACGCCTGTAAACACCAGTAAACGCCTGTAAATGCCTGTAAACGCCTGTAAACACCAGTAAACACCTGTAAACACCTGTAAACACCTGTAAACACCTGTAAACACCAGTATACACCTGTAAACACCAGTAAACACCAATAAACGCCAGTAAACGCCTGTAAACACCTGTAAACGCCTGTAAAGAGCTATAAACACCTATAAACACCAGTAAACACCAGTCAACACCAGTCAACACCTGTAAACACCAGTCAACACCTGTAAACACCTGTAAACACCTGTAAACACCAGTAAACACCAGTAAACACCAGTAAACACCTGTAAACACCAGTAAACACCTGTAAACACCTGTAAACATCTGTAAACACCTGTAAACACCTGTAAACACCTGTAAACACCTGTAAACACCAGTAAACACCTGTAAACACCTGTAAATACCAGTAAACACCTGTAACCACCAGTAAACACCTGTAAACACCTGTAAACACCAGTAAACACCTGTAAACACCTGTAAACACCAGTAAACACCTGTAAACACCAGTAAACACCTGTAAACACCTGTAAACTCCTGTAAACACCAGTAAACACCTGTAAACACCTGTAAACACCTGTAAACATCTGTAAACACCTGTAAACACCAGTAAACACCTGTAAACACCAGTAAACACCTGTAAACACCTGTAAACACCTGTGAACACCTGTAAACACCAGTAAACACCTGTAAACACCTGTAAACACCAGTAAACACCTGTAAACACCTGTAAACACCAGTAAACACCAGTAAACACCTGTAAACACCTGTAAACACCAGTAAACACCAGTAAACACCTGTAAACACCTGTAAACTCCTGTAAACACCAGTAAACACCTGTAAACACCAGTAAACACCTGTAAACACCTGTAAACTCCTGTAAACACCTGTAAACAGCTGCAGACACCTGTAAACACCTGTAAACTCCTGTAAACACCTGTAAACAGCTGCAGACACCTTCTTACCTTCCATTTCCTTCGAGCTGCAAACTTTTTGAACTTCTCCATGTTGACAGCCGACTCCTTCCTGCTCAGAGCCTGCTGAGTGTCTTTGGGCTGATTTTCCAAACAAACAAACAAACAAACAAACAGAGATTTGTTGTACTCTCCACCATAAGAAGAGAAATGTTTGTGAGCAGAGGCACACCTTGATCCAGGGGTGCTGCAGGGTGTCCTGGATGGTCATTCTCTTTCTGTGGAAGAAACAAAAACCATAAAGTTTTATTTAAAGAGACGATGTCATGAGAAGAACTGGACCTCCTGCATGGATCAGACATGATTCAGAGCTCGTTCAGGGATCAGTTTAAAAAAATATTAAAAGTTCTGTCCGTTCCCATCAGCTCATGTTAAAGCTTTATAAAGTCTGTCAGCTTTAACTGAACCTCACTGCTCCGACAGAAACACTCATTAAAACTAAAAGAGCCTGTGAGGGCAGCTCCGTCCATTCACTCGTTTCCACAGCAACTCTAACGAGGGACGGAGACAGTCGGGACGATTTGTGGATGTGGAGCCAGAGGACATGTCACCCAGCAACACGGCAGCTGCTGTCTGGAACGTTGGATGAAGTCAGAGCTGACATCTTTAAGATGAAGAGCTCTGAATCCTGCAGACGTTCAGCTGTCGTCAGGAGAATCAGGACTGACAGCAAGTTAAATACTTCAGGATTCTCAGGGTCTCTGACTCTACCTGAACAGAAACGATGACTCAGCAGTTCTGTATTTTCAGTTTAAACATTAACTGACGACAAATAATCCTCCAAATGTTTCAAAAACAAAAAATGTTTTATAAAGAAACATTACTGAAGGGAGACGAGATGATTTATTCTTTCCACGTCCATCTGAAGATTACATCATTCCTTTGATTCTTCTTATTTATCTTTCCTAAAGCAAAGTACTGTGTACTTTGTACTGTGTACTGCATACTGTGTACTGTGTACAGTCCAGGCTCATCCAGTAACTGTACCTTCAGCTGTTTGCAGGCTTCCTATAGTTTAAATCAAGCTAAATTTAAGACTTTTTAATGCCAGTTGAAATCCAATTTAAGACCAATTTCACAATAAACACAAATGACAAAAAAAAATTGAAACTGTGACAGAAACTCATGAATCAAAGTATTTTTGGTTGAATTATTCAAATATTACTAATAGACCGATTATTTTTATCCATATCTAACTGCTATTTTGTCAAATAAAGCAAAATAAAACAATCTTAGCAGTAAGTTTAAACTGAATTTACTTTCTGTAAATCCTCTAATGACCCAAAGTTTGCAGTTTTATGACCCACAGTGGGGTCTCAACCCAGCTGGCTGTAGATGAAATGACATCAGATTTTTGTGAGAAATAAGTAAGTATTTTTTAAAAGACAACATTATTAACATTAAAAATTAATTTCACACTGCTCAGATGGACAGTTGTTCAGATATTTGTATGTGAAGTGTGTTAAAAGGG